ATACATAAACAACATAGATAAACAATGGCATTCAAAATAACAGCTGAAAATATAACAGCCATAAAAAACAATCATTTTCTAGATTTTATTAGTTCCCCTTAAGTTAAAAAGGGCAAGGCAATTCTCCCATGCTTCGATCTTAAGAAGTCATGGTAAGAAAACTCATTCATGCTGAATATAAAATTACACTTTCTATTTCCTAAAGCAAAAAAAAAAAAAGATAAGACGCAATAAAGAATTTTGTATGTTTTATATGCAACAGTCAATCTTGCACAAAGAATAAAAGAACAATATGCTGGTTGTATTAGAAAAAGACAAGCTACCCACACTTGGGCGACCAGTCCTATCGTAATGAACTGCAAATCGCTTGAGGTCACCAACTTCAGAGAATAACTCCTGTAGAAGGATTAAAATTTGATTAAATAAAAAGAATATATGACCAAAAGATAGTATAACTTGGTTAACTTAAGGATTCAACTCACCCTTATATCTTCATTGGAGACCCCATAATCTAAATTCGAGATGTAAAGTTTTGTACCAGTTTCAATTCCTGAAATGCCTGCAGCTACCATGCTATCATCAAATAGATCATGTCTCCATATCATATCCTTTGTTCTGCTGAAGGACTGATGAAATTGCAACCAAAGATCCAGATCATGGAACAGATGTGTTAGCACATAATCACAAAAAAAAAAAAGTTCACTGTGCATAGTAAGTCTAATATAAGCATGAAGATACGTTCTTATAATAAATATCAACAACAGCAAATTCTGCAGTTGGAAAAGTACTTTTTACCAATATACAACAAATCAAATAGCATATAAAGCATGTAGATAAGAGTTTACGATGAGAATTCCACCAATATCATATGCTGACCATAAGTTACTGGTGAGAGCTCCAGTTCCAAAGTACGAGCCCTTAAGCACTTCCACAAAAAACGACCCCATGAACTAGCATACAAATCGAGGGCTTGACTGTCGAAGATATGAAGTTCCAAATTTAGCAACAGATCCCTTGAAATTCTCCCCTTTAAATCCGTCATTAATGAATTAAGCACCAAAAAGTAATATAATCTGAATGCTGTGTACGAGCCTCTCCATGTAAAAAGTTCTGATATCCAGCCCTTCGTGTCTGGGTTTCTAATGATTCAGATTCTTGAAGGTATGCATAAAAAAGCAACAGTTTTGGGCTTGCCTTGGCAATCTTGTATGGAGATGGCCGACTGTTAACCCTGAGAGAGCCTTGATGAAGCATTCCCATTCCCCTTCCACGAAAGCTACCACCACGTCCACGGCCCCGCCCTGGGCCTCGCCCTCTCCCCCTTTGGCTACCAGTTCGGTTTTTAATGAGATCATCCAGTGACATATCCAAAGATGTAGCCATTCGACAATGATTAGGAAATTGCTGAGATGATAACCAAGACCTGTAATAAAAAAAACCAAATTATATTCTTTCGATCTGTCCATTCAAAAAAAAGGCCCAGAAATAGAAAACATTATGGTTACCATAAGAAAGAAATTTATTATAGACAAAAACCATTGCAAATAAAAACCTAAGTAGGAAATAAAAAGTGTAAACTAATCAGAACTACAAACTAAAGAACTGTAGTGTAGACATTTTAAAAGTCTTAACAATCAGATGCTCTAGATGGCTTTATGAAATTTGATTGTGTCAATAATTGCAAAATCTCCCTGGCAATCCTTCGAAGTGATCATAACAATAAAAATTAAGGCATGACTCAGACACTTGGCCTTACAAGGTCTAATAGCACACTCAAAGCTCGCTCGAAGCGCCCAACACCTCGGTTCAGGCGAGCGCCCAGGCGGTGCCTCCTTGAAGCGCACCACTTGGTCCACACACAAGGCACTCGGTCCTCGTCTCACCCGAGCGCTTAGGCGAGTGCCTATTTAAATCACTACATATAGACAAAAAAATTTGTGCTTCTTGTCGTAGGTTATTTTAGTTGATTTATCGCGATATCTTGAGGCATTTGTGGGCTTCTGACCTATTCATTTGATGTCTTTCTCTATTGCCAATCTTTTTGCCAATTAACTTTGTTTTTGTCGTTCTCACGATAGTAGGAGAATGGAACTTTGCTTTAATTGTTGAATGTGAACTTTGGAAGGAGATTTGTCTGCATTTAGCATTGAACACAGCTAAATATATTGTTATTTCCCGATAGAGTTTGCTTCCTTGAGGGATCTGCTCCCTTCGGCTCTAACTGCAGATCATATGGTCTTGTGGTTTCACCAGTAGGGAATCCTTTCTTTTTTTTTCTGAAAATAGCAAGTGGTGAAGGCACAATGTTGTTTATGAACTTTGTTGTTTATGAAGAGGAGAAAACAACACTTACATATCATCAATTTTAGGGGAAAAAATGTGGTGGCACGATATTGTTATTGTTTGATTAACATTAAAAATAAAAATAAAAAACCAGATGCCCCAAATTGTCTTGTGGGAACCCAATTAACACATAAGCAGAATGTGCATCATATTCTCCACAATAGCACCAATCCTTGACGAAATCAAAGCAACTGTCTAATAGAACATTAGCATATAATAGGTAATAACACTATCCATACCCCATAAAAACATTCAATTCAAGGAAAAAACATTAAATCTTTCTTCCACAGGATAATGTAGTTACCAAGCTTATTTAATACAGTGCATAGTTGGTGTAATATTCTTGAAACACCAATGTCCATTTCCAAAAATGCCACGACTTAATAAAATTTGCATACACAATCGAGATTAAAAGAAAAACATTTTAAGAAACAACCCACACCAAGCAATTTGATAGATCAACCATCATTACAAGAATTATATCTAGATATTATCATAGTCATTCAACATACTATAATAAATTCTCATAAACAAAGAATCATCAAATTGGAGAATCTCGTTACTCTGAATGACCAAAATTTACACAAAATTGACTTCATATTTGTAATAAGATAGAAATATAATAGAAATAAAGCATGTAAACTTCAAAAAGTGTCGGACAACCCATGACAAGCCACCTTCATTGTGTAAAATGGATAATTACTACTATTTCAAAGGTTGGGTAATTCTCACCATATTCTTACTGTGTGTTTAATAACTATAGTCACACTGCAAAATCGTCCCTAATGAAAAAGCATATCGACCATCAAAACACTAAAAGCCCAGCCTTCAACACCCAACACCAGACGCCAAAAAATTAACTGCACAACAACTAAAGCAATCTGTTTAAATCTATCACAAAACAAAGACTAAAGCGAAAAAAAGAAACAACCAGAACCCATGAAAACACCTGCAAATAGTTAGCTACTCTGATCCAACAACAGAAAAACATATTGTCAGGCATTGTTCAACAAACTGGGGGGACCGGTACATATCGCCCGGTGCTTATCAGTCTGCCAGTGGACCGGGATATGAACTGCCCAAAAAGGGGCGGTCCAGTTTTCGTTTTAACCAGTCAATTTAGGGTATACGAGCGCGAGCACGCAGCCACACGGTCATGCCGGACCTCCTGGTATTTCTCCTCCTCCTATTCCTTGATATGCCCGGACTGGACCCGTACCCAAAACTGAATAATTCAGGGCTCATAATCACATCATACTAGCAACGAGTTAACCCGCAGAAAAGATCAATCGGAAGAAACACCAAGTAAAAAACCACGTGAAAGATCAAAGAGACGATTTAGGGGTTTACGAAGGAAAAAAACCACAAGATAGAACAAAAAAAATACCTCAAAACCACTACGAAGTCCTCCCCAGCTCGCTCAGAAAAAGATCAGAAGAAGGGTCGGCACACAAAGAAAGGAGGGAGAACTCGGGCGAATTCACCGGGGAGCGGCGGATGAGATTTATAGGGTTAGATATCGGAGAGGGACAATGATTCCGGCTCTCTACTCGGCCTCCTGGGGATCGAACTTGGAAACCGAAACTTGGACGGATTCGAGCGGGTACGGGGGTTGCTAGGGCTTTAGGGAGAGAGCAGAAACCGGGGCAAAGCTTAATGGCTAAGCGTTAGGGCGACTGGATATAGACACGAACGGCCTGGCCCTTTTGATAGCCAAAAGCCAGATGGGCCCCCGTCGGCCTGGCACACCGGTCCCCTTTGTGGGTCCCACACCATTTTGACCATTGCCTAATAATAAAGAACCTTAAATCTCAGCCACGCACAAATATTTGAACTATTTTACGCATTTAAAGGCCTCAAACCTCGAACAATAAATACAAAGCTCATCACCTACCTACACGAAAGCGGACCGTATACAAGTCCGAGCTCAACTTGATCTAAGATAGATGGGCTTTCAGGGTGGATTTGATTTAAATGAGCATTATTCATGTGAGCAAATTGGATCGTATTATGCTGTGCCTGCGTTGACAGAAAAAGAAATGAATAGTATATTCCCCCATTGCTACGTATCGTGGACTGTCTACTGAGATATTTGTCCGAGCGACTGCACGCTCGGACATGATTGCCACATATCTCGGTCCCCCTCCGCCTTCTCTATCCAATAAAGCGCATGTTTCCATCGCAATCCACGATGGCCCACCCAAATCCACGGGACAAAAAGCCGTGCCTTCCAAAAGAGACACGGCCTTTATCGACTCCTTCCCCCCTCCCTCCCTCCGTAGGCTCGTCGTCTGACCTCCCAAACTAACGGCTCTTTTCCTCTCCCTCTTCCCTCTTCCCTCCTCGCCCGGCGACCCACGTCACCCAACCATCCCTACCAACGGTCACATTATTACCATCATACGGCGCAGACTCGCAGTCCATTAACTCCCCGTCACGTGAAGCCCCGTTTCCGGCCGGATCGCGTGTGGCCGGTCCGATCAAACCGGTCGCGGTCAATCCACCCGACCCCACGCGCCATCAACCACCTCACATCGATCGCCGCGCCGCAAAAGGGCCCTCCGTATTCCCACGTGGCTCTCTCTCGTTGGTCCATTATCTCAGCGGCGTATGCCGTCCCATTGCCCGTTGCTGCTTGCTCGCCAACGTCCTCCTCCCCCGTCTTCCTCCCTCTATTTATTCCGAGCTCCACCGGTGGCCATGAGATCGGTAGAGGAAAGCTGATAATAATACAAGGGTTTTGTGGCGAAGATGGTGTCCTCGCCGCGGCTGTTCTGGCTGTTGCTGGCCTTCCTTCTGGCGGTGCTACGGCCGTCCGCAGCCGCGCATGACTACGGCGATGCTCTGCGCAAGAGCATTATTTTCTTCGAGGGGCAGCGCTCCGGCAAGCTACCACACGACCAGCGCCTCACCTGGCGCCGGGACTCAGGACTCCACGACGGCGCCGCCGACGGGGTAAGGCCACCTTTTTTCGGTATCTCGTGGTGTGGCCTCGTTTCGTGGGGGGTTTAGGCTCGTGCGTGGTGGTGGTGGCTCGGTTGGCGCAGGTGGACCTGACGGGCGGGTACTACGACGCGGGGGACAACGTCAAGTTCGGCTTCCCCATGGCGTTCACCACGACGCTGATGGCTTGGAGCGTCATCGACTTCGGGAAGAGCATGGGGCCGCAGCACTTGGCGGAGGCGCTTAAGGCGGTGCGGTGGGCGACGGACTACCTTCTCAAGGCCACCGCCGTGCCCTGCGTGGTGTACGTCCAGGTCGGCGATGCCTTCCGCGACCACTCCTGCTGGGAGCGCCCCGAGGACATGGACACCCCGAGGACCGTCTACAAGGTGGACCGCGACCACCCCGGCTCCGAAATCGCCGGCGAGACCGCCGCCGCCCTCGCCGCCGCCTCCATCGCCTTCCGCTCCGCCGATCCCGCCTACTCCGCCCGCCTCCTCGATCGCGCCATCTCCGTGAGCTCACCTGAACCCGCTTCCTCTCGGTCACTCATCTCTGTCGAACACTTGGTCAGCGCCAACGAATCTCTAACAGGTGTTCGAGTTCGCGGACAAGCACCGGGGCGCCTACAGCAGCAGCCTCCATGACGCGGTGTGCCCGTTCTACTGCGACGTGTCGGGATACGAGGTGCGCCATCTCTCTGTTCTCTAAAAGCCATTCCACACCGTAGAAAATTCCACGAATGGCTTCTGATGAGGTGGTGGTGGTGCGTGTGGGCTCCTCCACAGGACGAGCTGTTGTGGGGCGCGGCGTGGCTACACAAGGCCTCGCGGAGGCGGAACTACCGCGAGTACATCAGGAGGAACGAGGTGATCCTCCACGCCGGCGACAGCATCAACGAGTTCGGCTGGGAAAACAAGCACGCGGGCATCAACGTCCTCATCTCCAAGGTATACCCATTTATTTCACCAAGCCGGTGACGGGATCTCTCTCTCTCTCCTTTTTAAGAAAGCTGCAATTTCTGTCTTCGTCGTGTCTCGCGTCGGCTTATCTCCAGTGGCTTCTCGGGCTCCGGGAAATGGCATGGACTGTAGCTGTCATTGACAGAGGATTTTGACCGTTGTCTCTGACCTTTTGTCTTCCTTCTTTTGTTGAGACAGAGCATATAATTTTTTGTTTACCGATTGGTGCAGGAAGTTTTGATGGGGAAGGATGATTACTTGGAGTCTTTCCGGATAAACGCGGATAACTTCATCTGCTCGCTGCTGCCGGGGATATCTGATCATCCACAAATCCAGTACTCGCCAGGTTTGCTGATACATCCCATTGAATCATCTGACAGGAATATTTGATCTGTTGATACTGAGTCGTGTGATCGATCCATTTCCTGTTTCGATGTGCGATGCAAGGTGGGCTGTTGTTCAAGGCCGGAGGGAGCAACATGCAGCACGTCACGGCGCTCTCCTTCCTGCTCCTCGCCTACTCCAACTACCTCAGCCACGCGGGCGGCCGGGTGGCCTGCGGTGGCGCCTCCGCCTCGCCCGTGGCGCTCAAGCGCGTGGCCAAACGTCAGGTGAGTGGCGGCACGGCCGTGGCTCGATCTGCTGCACATGGAAAGCTGGCTGACGTTGTTGCGCAGGTGGACTACATACTGGGGGACAACCCGCTGGGGATGTCGTACATGGTGGGGTACGGGGCGCGGTGGCCGCGGCGGATCCACCACCGGGGGAGCTCGCTGCCGTCGGTGAAGGTGCACCCGGGGCGGATCGGGTGCAAGGCCGGGACGGCCTACTACCTCAGCCCGTCGCCCAACCCCAACGTTCTGGTGGGAGCCGTGGTGGGCGGGCCGACCAACACCAGCGACGCCTTCCCCGACGCCCGCCCCGCCTTCCAGCAGTCGGAGCCCACCACCTACATCAACGCCCCCCTCCTCGGCCTCCTCGCCTTCTTCTCCGCCCACCCCGACCCCAACTCCTGGTCCCAGGACTAACTCCGCCACCCTTGGCAATTTGATGACAGACAGCACAAGTGCTAACTCTGGTGGTAGTAAGTAGTAAACGAGTGACCGTTTTAATTCGTTGGTGTACAGAAGCAGGAGAGTAGTAATGGAGAGACGATGATGAAAGCGTTGCCTGTTTTATGATCCTAAGCTTTGTTCTGATTCCAATCTTTTGATGCTGCTCGTCTCGTGTTCATGTCATCTGCTGGTTGACAGGGAGATGTCAATTATTAAACAGGTATGTGGAGGCTGGCTGGTACGAGTAAAAATCTTGACGCCTGGGGTTTTGATGGCCTGAAGGGATTAAGAAACGTGGTGTCAGATTTGGCAGTCGGCTTGCTGTGCTGCAATCGAGAACAAGGTTCTATGTCACGGGTAGAGAAAGACACCAGATCGACCTTGGCTCACATTTAGGTGTAAATAGATCGATAGAGTCAGCAGCAAAATGCCGAAAAATGGGACAGCAGTAGGAATGATAAGTACCTTGTTTCGTATCCAACGTGAAACAACTAATCAGGATGTTGTTATGTGGAATGATCATTGATGTCACTACGAAATGGTAATGGGCTGTCACGACCATGACCATCCATCCATCCATCAGCCTTATCCCTCGAGGGCCGACCACCCCGTCTCCCTGTTGTAGCCAGAGTCGAACACATATGATCATGAAGGGCATTATTAATATTTGATCATCTATATCCCCTATGACACTGCTACATCACATCAGCTATCTATCCCCTATGACACTTTCAGTTCAGTGGATGCATGCCTTTGTTTCGTATATTTCTGGAAACAAAGTCCAATGAAAATTGTGGATAAATCAGAGCAAAATGAGGAACATATTAAATTACTCATCTCCTACTTCTACAAGATAGAGGGAAGCATAGATCCTTCACGATGCAATCGGCAGTTCTTTTAATTTAGATTAAAAAATATTAAGCAAAAGAGAAAACGGATGAGCAATATGAACTGAAAGTCTCAATGAGCTAATCCATGGTAAGAGAGATGAGAAAAACAACTAAAGAGATCAACATCTAGACTGAACAAAACCCTCCATCGATGAAGAGTTTGCATCCTTGCTGAATCCAGATTTGCCTACTACACGAATTTGTGCATGATGCTCCGAATTAAGTGAATACAATAAGAGTAATCACAAAGAAAGTTGTTTGAAAAGGGTTATGAAACTGCAACTTGTTAGAACAGGAAAACAAGAATAAATAATGTTCAGCCGAAACATTAAATTATGTGATTACGAATGATAGGCAGAAGTCAAACCAGCATTTTCTGGCTGTGGCCTGTTGGCCTCTGTTATCAGGTTGCAAACAATGAAAAGTTGAAACAAAAACAGGATTCGCATCTTGCAATATCTCTAGCAATTTTGTTCCTACTATTATGCAACAAAAGAGTACTGAAATGGATAAGGTGATCAACAGGAGAACAGCACCAGAGTACCAATGATTTAGTCAATTCACATTCACGGTAGATGAGAAGATCCAACAGCCGTTGCCCTGGTCCGGTCAATGCATCTTGAAGCAGGATTACGTATGGTATGACATCAAATTAAAATGTTAAAGCCATAATGACTGCTATAAAACATGTGATAATCATGGAATAAGGTGCTAACCAACTTTGCATATGAATATCCTGCAATTGTCACCCAAAGTAGGAAATTGGTCATTCAGGACTGCAACTTATGAATAATGCATTCACAAGTAATATAATTAATATTTATAATTCTAGATCTAATACTAATCAGTCATGGTGCCAAATGCCATAACTTCCATTTTCTGGTTGTCACAGTTTATATTTTTTTCGGTTGTCATAGTTGTATATGTAAACGGCAATTGTTTCTACCAACCCGCCACTCAACCTACAGAGTAAAAATTTTCAAATTGGTTCTCGCTTTCCCAGAAGAGAACCTTGAGCATAGGCATTGAAACTTCTATGCTAAGCTTCAAACATCTCACATTTTTTGCCTTTTCATCATCACCCTAAGCAACTGAATATGCAGAGAATGTACTTATTGAAGCCCGTACATATTTTTCAATAAATTACCTCCAATGTGGTGATATTCAATAATAATTCAGATGACATGATACTTACATCTGACAGATAAAGACAATATGCTTAAAGATAAAATATAAAGAATTTCTAAATGCATTGGGTCATAATTATATAGCAGACAGATCCTCATATGTCCTAGCCAAACTTGGAGAAGGCTTTCCTTGAATATTCGAGGCATTTTACTTATAAGCTGTCATCCAGTGGAATTAATACTGCAGCAGAGGACACCAGAAACAAAGGTTTCCAGATCCATAACCTGGAACTAACAACAGATTTTGACAAATCTGATGTCTGCTAATTCCTAACTGTTAACCTTTGTGCGATTAGGCAGTTGCTGAAGATGAGTCACATGTCATGCTTGTCATAAGTCATAGAACATCATAAAAGTTGATCACACTCGCTGCAACCATCACTTGTTAGTACAGAAAATCCTACAGACTTTAAAATCACTTAATTCTTTGAGATGTTTTGATATGTTTATGGTTCTACAATGCTTATCAGTTTAGGGTTTCTTTAAGCATTTTAAGGCTTGTTTTAGTCAGAGGCTAGAATCCTGAATCTAGATTGAATACGGAATCATGATAGAACCAGCATCCTCAGAGATAAGTTCCAAAACTTTTTAAACCATTAGTGCTTGAACCTGAGAATAATGTCGTAATTATTAACCTAATGAAAGAGAAACAATCGAGACACATGTTGTGCTTTTCATAATCCACAAGAGTTTAATGCTCCAAGCCTCCAGCTTTCTATTTGCATCCATCACATATCATAAAAAGAATACTCCATATTAAAATCATTAAATATTTAAGATATATTATCAGTAATGCCTCCTAATGGACAGAGAAAAACATAGTCCCAAAGTACTGAGAAAAACATATACTGCTGATATAACTAACTGAAAATAGTCCCAAAGCACCTCGAGGCTTACAAGTCCCTGTATATTATAGGTTAGCATGCCTAAATCCGATGTAGACATTGAGAATTATATGTTAACACTGTATATTATTCATATTAGGATTTCTTTCCACTGCTGGTTGAAAGAAAGGCCAATTAGGCATGTTTGGCAAGAAATAGGAGCATCAGCCACTGTTGATGCCACTAGTGGAGGCGCTGACACCTTATCTGGTTTTAACAGGGTGTACAAGTGCAATGTTTTCGGTGGCAATCACTTGGGTCCCTAGGCTAACAAACCTGGGACCCCCTAGATCCCTAGCTAAAGCTCAGGCATTATATTTATCCAATGAATATATATATATATATATATATATATATATATATATATATATATATATATATATATGTGTGTGTGTGTGTGTGTGTGTGTGGGTGTATTTGTATAGATATGGAAATATGTCCAAGTGTGCAAGATACATGTCGAATGCTAATAGCCATGTGCAATTATATGGTGGCAAGATAGTCCTAAGATCACTAATGCTAGAAGATGTTCATATGCTGATTGTTTCCAAGAGCATCCCACACTAGACTTGAGGTGGATGGCCACAACTAAGTGGAGGTTGGCTCACTGCAGCAGCCAGCCAGGCCACGGGAATGCAGCCGGAGACCAATCCTCAAACTAGTCCAGCGAAGAATGGGACAACAGCAATTAACCCCTGTTTGATGTAGGGCTTCAGCAAAGCATTTTGGAAGGTCAAATACTCAAATTCCAGGCTCAGGACTCCTAAAGACACAAGGTAGAGAAGAAAGCAGCTTATAATACTTGGAAGAGGACTTCTACGGACCAGTGGGAGAAGATAATAATAATCCTAATAATACTAATCGGAAGGTACTCAATATTAATACTAGTAAAATTATACAGGTCAGCTACAGATAAGAGTGCATTAGTGCACCAAACACATCTTGATTTCAAATCAACCATTTTCAACATCCTAATTTCATTGTTATTCCCTAGTTATTGGAAGAGACTCTCGAAGTAGAGAACCTTTAGTTATAAGGAGCTGTTGCAATAGCAACCAAATGAAATATGACTAGATCGTGAAGCTAATGAGATATCTCATCGTTAGTGCTATCAATAATACTTCGTGTACTATTTATTAGGTTTATGCACAAGCCGAAATTTACAAAAAAAAAAAAGGCAAAGGTAAAAGAAGAATGATGGCTGACAAAAGAGTTTTGTGGTGATGCTGCCATGTGGAAGCATAAGAATTGTTGTGCTATTCACACATATATGAGTAAAAATCAGTCCGTGTTCACTTATGACAAAATCTAAATTTATATCTTAATAATTCTAAGTCAAGCATACATTTCTAGCAAATAATGGGTTCCAAGGTTTCAAAGACCTGTCTATACTTGGTATGGTCTGGGATTTATGTGGTTCTAGATCATACTTGGCTTAACACCCAGTATGGTTATAAACCTGGGTACACCGTCCGGTTTCATAATTGAACCAAAAGTACTCATGATAAGTCTATGTCTGATATCATTTTCTTAGTTTTGACATCTTCCCTCCCCCAAAAGGATTTTTTGCTGCCTCCTCATCCTCCTCATTTTAAGAATAGGCACCTCCTATCAGTATGCCTATTCCTTCACGATCGATATCAGCACGAACCAAGATTTCAAATCTTGATGTATATAAGGAAACAAAAAGCATCTCGGAAGTGTACAAGACCAATCAGAGAATCAGATGATTTTACTGCCATAAAAGATGCAACCCAAAATTGCAGCCTCATATATTAGGTAATGGTAGTGAAAACGGGAAGTCAGGACTCTGGACTGCTCCACAACATTTTCTTTGTATCTTTCTTTTTAACCCTTACGGTTCTTGTTCTGTATAAAAATGAGAAGCAATTTAACTAGTAGTATTTCAGTTCACAACAAAGATTCTACTAAGTACTGAAACAATCGCAACCAAGTTTTAAATTATTAAATCTGAGACCCATGCCAGTAGCATGTTGGACAAGCATGTATGGATTGTATGCCCCAAAAAGACTTTTGATGTTAGTATTTCATGGGTCTACTATGGTACCAACATACTGGTATCAAGTTGGATTTGTCAACGCGGATGGTATGCTAGCACAAACCAATGCCAGAAGCATGTAGGACAAGTATGTATTGGTTGTACACCTCAAAAAATGCTGTGGTGG